CCTCTTTCCCTCCACAGTCACATCTCAGAGATGAGCAGAAGCAAAGGGAGTTCCTCTGGGCTGCAAGGCGAGGCAAGCGGGACCATACTTGGCTGTAGCAGACTCATGCAGTCGATTCGAAATGTTCAGGCTTTCCTCCAGCATCTCAAATTTTGTGCACTCCTGTTCAGTTGAAGTGAACAGGTGCTCTTCTGTCTCTCTGTAGTCAGAAACTGCTGGTCAACTCCGTGGGTTGACATGGTGGTGCAACAAGGGTCAGGCACTGATCTTGGTCGATGCTGTCAGGCCACAAGGTTTCAAGCCTTTTTAAAAGTGCCAGTCATGATTTATCTTATTAGATAAGCCTTATGATTTGATTGCACTGGGAGGGTGGGAAGAACACAGGAGGGCTTTCCCTCCATCCTTACTGTGGGCGATGGCTGATGCCATCGCTCATGATGCTGACCCACCACACTCTGCATGGTGTCATGGATGTGTTTTTGTGTGTCAGCAGAGCTCACGTTTATGAGCTTAACTGGATGCTTTCATATTATTCATTCCCTTACATTACCAGGAAGATCCATGTCCCCTTTCCAAAGCTGGCAGTCTCCAGTGGGAATGAAATAGCTATCAGTTGGAGTTACAATACCTTTTGTTGATGCTGGGGTTTTTATGCTATAAAAAGTACCGATTATAAGCAGTTTCCATAGCGATGAATCCTTGGATTACAGAATGAATTTTCAGAGGATTAGCTCTAAGCAACTCACTGAAAGTTGTTTGCAGAATTGCTGCAGTACAGGGAAACAAACTAAAGGGTTTTGTGAAATGGATGGGTCTGGGGAAATAGTCTGGTAGCAGAAGTCACTTTGTCAGGTGCACCTAGTGCAGGACTTCAAATTTTCCTTTGAAATCCTCTCTCCCAGCTTCTCAGGCTGGCTGTTGCCTCTGTGTAGACTTCCTCCTGGAAAACTCACCTGCCTGAACTATCGGCACCATGGAGAAGTTGGCTTCTGCCCTCTTTTTTTGTCATTTCTACCTGGCCCAAGCGAGTCCCCCAGCCAAAGAAAGAGACCTTCCTCGTGAGCCCTGCCTCTGATGCAGGAAGCCCTGGTTATAGAAGAAGGAATAGTTATGACAAAGCTGTGCAGAAAATTACCATGATTAGCCATATTAAATGGTTCTTCACCACTGCTAATGCTTGGCTGCTAGGAGTGATGCCAAAGCTAATAGATATAATTTATTTAAAGCCTTGGCAGCCTGTTGCTTTGTTAGTTAGCAGTAGTAATACCCGTAGTAATGTTAAACATTCTCTGAAAACACATTTTGGGCTGATGTAAAATTACTTTGGTTGCTGCACAGCTTTTTCATGCGTTCTGTTTAATTGCTTGGTTATTTACAGTATTTAAATTATCCCTTCAGAGTAGCAGTGCCAGTGGTACCATATAACATCGCTATTGCTTCTGTTATTGCTGTTTGTAGCACTGCGGAGTTCAGGAGCCTCATAAAACATAGGGTTGTGTTCGGTGCTCTACATGGAAGAACTTCTGAGCTGATTAAGAATTTTTTAGGGTGGGGGTCAAGACTTCTGTGCTGCAGATCACAAATGGGGAGCCCAGTGCAACTTCAGAAGTGCTGGGAGTGAAGCTCACATCTCCTAGGGCTGGGGCAGTGAGTGAGGGCTGTGGTACCCCACATCCCACCTGACCCACGCTGGCTTAGCTCACCTCCCCCACAATGGGGGTGTGATGCTAGGGCTGCAGAGGGGACCCCGGGTTTCTTGGGGTCCCACGTGCTGGAGCAGAGCTGCTTCTCACCGCATTGTGGGCGCTGCCTGGATGCAGCCCGAGCCTGCCAGCAGGACAGGCGGTCTGCGAGATTGGAGATGACATTTCAGGGATGGGTTTGGCAGCGGCATTAATAGCAGGCTGGAGAGAAGCAATAGGACTGCCAGCACCTCTGATGCACGGCAGGCAGCACGATGCAGATTGCAAGCGAGCGGCAGTGTCAGCCCCCAGCACCTCCACATGAAAAGCAGTGGCAGGGACATGTGAACATCGCTCCCAGGTTGTCATCTCCCGCCTGTGCTCCTGCTCCTGCCCAGAGCCATCCCCAAGTGGTACCCACCTCTGCTGAGACCCCTGCAGTGACCTGGCAGAAGCACTGGAAGTAAAATCCTTTGTGTTAATGTGCAACAGAAATTTGGGGAGAGTTTTAGTGAAACAATATGTTGTTTAGTTTTGAGGGGTTACTTTGAGACAGTTTGAAGCATTTCTTTGACCCAAAGCAATGTTGTGTTTATCTTTAATTATTAAATGTTGTGTATACTCTTTTTAATTTTTAGCATATGCTAGTTTACAATCTAAGACGCTGTTTTGATAACAAAGTTTTTTAAAAAAATGTTTAGGAAATTGTGAAGCAAGATGTTTGGGCCTTTCTGAGACGAAATGTTCCTCTTTGAAGTGAAACTATTTTGATCTCTTCGGGATAAGCTCTTTCCTCTCGCTCTGAAATGGTTATTTGATTTCAACTGGTTAAAGTTTGGTCTCTGGGATGTACTGAAAAGTGGGTTTAAGTTGCCCATTTCCACCAGAAGTAGCAGTGAAACAGAAACTTCAGAAATACTGGCTGGTAGCTGTGAAAGGAAAGAGGGGCAGCCACTTTGGGAAAGGGGAGCAGGACCAGTGGGGAGACCCTTGCCTGGGACCAGACGGGCAGGAGGAGCAGCCGGGTTCATGCTTTGGCTGGAGGGGATGAGATGATTGTCCTAGCCTCCTGTAAACAGGTAGCAACATGCTGCCTCCTATGAGCATCCTCTTTGGACCATTTTGCTCCAAGTTGGGTTGTCTTCTCTGTTTCTCTGTATTTTATCAGTACAACTCCAGCAACGTGAATTAAGTTATCCCGGTTTTATGGTTGAATGGTGGTAAGCAGAGGCTGGTCTGTTTGCTTCCTGGCTAATAGCTGTTTAAAGCATTTCAGATGGATGTGCAGTGCAGCTGGCTTTATTCACCAAAGTTTGTCATTTAATAATAGAGGCGTAGCCGAGTGATCCAAAACATACATCTAGAGCTGGCCTAAATGGGAGTGCATGGGCACGGAAGACTCAGCTTCAATCAAAAAGACTAATATACTCGCTACGGAAGATGTGAGCATACCCCTATAGAGATTCTCTGCATTAACCAGATGTTTTTCGGCATTTTTGTAAATACCTTCTTCATGCACGTGTTTTGCTGCCACGTTGTGGTATGCAAACACCCAGCTACCCATCTAACCAGGGCTTTGCACAGGGAAGGAGTCTTGGGAGCTGCCTGCCCGAGTTCCACTCCTAGGACTGCACCGCGACAGTAGCAGCAGCCACGCAACCATCAGTGCAGCTTTAAAATGCAGTTAAATATTGTTTCTGTGGTGCAGAGAATGTTTTCCTTTTTCTACTAAATCCCCAAGGTTTTCTATCTAATGAAAGAAGTGTGTTGTCATGTGATAGAAGAAAGTAAGATGGCGTTTGAAGTGGTGTTAGTGGAAAATATCATTGTGCTGAAACCAGTTCTGAAATAAACCATATTTGGCACTTGCAAAATGACAGCAAATAGATTTAGACGTTTTGGGCTAAGTTATCAGATGATGTAAACTGGCACAACTCCACTGAAGTCTATGGAGAGGTGCCAGCTTACATCAGTGGAGAATTTGGCCCTTTTAAAAAATCAGCTACAATTCTTATCTAAGATTTTCCATTCTTCATCTCTTGGGTGAAGGAAAAAAACCCACCCTTTTATATTTTACAGTAAATTTGTTGGAAAATGCAATAGGTGTTTGCAGGCAGTCGTATCTACAGTTATAAACCATAGCTGGTAGAGTTAGAAGCTGGAGCTGGTAGAGCTGATGGTTGTGTCTAACGTACAATGTAGGTGGTCCCCTCGTGCACGTATCCACGGCCTGGATGATGCCCAGGACAGACTTATGCTGGGAATAGCAGCAATGTACAGACTGTCTCAGCCATAATTTCCTGGCTGAGTTGACTGTGTTTTCATGCTTCCTTCTCCAGAAGCTTTGTCATTATCTGCTGCTCTCTGAGATAATAGCCAGTGTGGAAAATCCAGCCTGCTATCTTGCTGAAACAGAGGTGGATAATTTTCTCCATGGACAATCTGCAGATACGACTGCTTGCGTTTAGAAGGGATTGGCCATTTCCCTAGGGACAGGTCGGTGTCTGGAGGAAGGAACGTCCCAACTTCTCTACGTCACTGAATTTTGCATGCAAGTGTAGGGTTTTTCTTTTCTTGAGTAGCTAGAGTCTCTGGAAAGGCTGTTTGTGGCTACTCACAAGTCAGACCAGTTCTCTGGCAGAGGGTGACCAACACTATGGATGGTGGAGATTGTTTAGTTTCTTTTGAAAATTAATCAGGTTGTCCTTCCATTGAAAATTGGGATGGTTAGTCTGCTGCTCACAAAAGACTTTCTCAGTATTGCTCTTTGGCAGTTGTCATCCTGTCTGGAAAATTACTTTTTGAGTGGTGGTGGAGAGGTGACTTTAGCATTGTCCATACTTCTATACTACAAGATTGTCCATCCTCCTGTACTAGTCAGGACTGAGGCATAGCTGCAACATGGAGGAGATGGCTTTTGCCTCAGTGGCTGAGAATATCTATATTGGTTCCTTCTGTGGTGGCCTTGGCCTTTGGCAGTGGAAGCCATGAGACTCTAGTGACCTCCTGGGGGTCCTGACAGCGACTAATGGTGTGCACTGACCTGGGTCTGACCCCTAGTCACTGCCAGGCAGGAGGTCGGTCATCGATCTCAAGATCCCATTTATGTGGGCTCTGGCAGATCATCTCCTGGCTGCTCCTCAATACGCATGGGTCTGTGAGAGGGAGGCAATGAGGCGGCCTGGGCTGTACAGTCATTGCTGCACAGATGACTCACATGTCTTCAACTTTTTCATATTCAGTCCAGCAAATGCCATTTTGGTGTTTCCCCAGTGCTTTGCTGAGGTAGGAGTTTGGATGAGGAAGAGGTGAGTCAAGCTCAAGCTGGGAGATTTAGAGGTGGTGCCAGATGTTTGGGAAACTTGGCCAAGAGGCACATGAGATTAACAGCTGTCCTTCTGACTATAGTTTGCTCCCTTTAGAAGAAAAATTCAGAGTATTCTCAGCTTTCTGCTTTGCTCCTGAATTGCAAAGTCACCAAAGAGTGCTTAATCGCAGCTTCATTTAGCATGATGTTTGTGACCATTTCCATGGACCTCTGCCTTCCTAACTTTTCTCACCTCCAGCTAAGCCTATTGTGTAGCTGTTTAAAAGGAGCAGTGCTTTAACAGTGCTTGGAAGCTTTATCTGGGGAGAAATGCACCAGTTGACAGGCTTTTAGCAGTGCTGTTCAGAAGTATCTCCATGGAATAGTCTTCCAGGAGAAAATTAAGAACTGATTTTGATTTGTAATGTTTTCAGTATGGTGTCAAGGATTCAAATCTGGTCTGAATCTGGAAGAGAGCTCTTCCAGGAGCTGAGGAATGCCAGGAGCCCATGGGGACCGTTGGGGCTCTGGCTCTGTGGTGGAGAGGAGGACAGAAAAAAATGGCTGCTGGGTGGGATGATCAAGGGGAAAAAAAAAAAAGATGATCAAGGAAAATTAATAATAAATAAATAAAGCCCTGGATGCTTAGCCAATATGTTTGGCAACATGTGAGTGCCTTGTGCTCATTAACGTGCTATCATCACAGCAGCACAGTGAGGAGAGGAAGTGTTACGATTGCCGTCTAGCAGATGGGGAGATGGAGCCATGAAGACGCACAGCAAAGCCTGGGACGGTGCAGGGAGATGAGTCCCTGTTCCCGATGAGCAACTCAACCGTTACTCTCTGTTCGCAGTCTGTCGGTGGCTGTGCAAGGTCTGTAGGGAAGGCACCCATCGAGCTGAGCTGGGTTTGTCCCATTTACCCTGGGATTTGTCCCACAGCTCCTGTCTACCCTTTGTCTTGGGAGAAAATCCTCCTCAGCAGCAGACAATGTTTGAGCTTTAAAATGCAATGGGCTGTCGCTGATGTAGAGCTGTAGTCACTCAGATTTGCAGCCTCGGAGACTGACTTTGTCATTCTTGTGCTCTCTGAAAATGAGGAATGACTGCTGGACTTGGCAGCTGAGTGGCAGACCGATGTGCGGTCGGTCCCCTGCTGCCAGGGCTGGCAGATGCTGCAAGCACCGTGGCGTTGGCATCTTCCTCCTCATTGTTGTTCTGTGGTGATCTCATCCCAGCTCCCAGGGACCTTCCTGTGAGCACTGCTGGCTGGCACCTGGCCCACACGTCCTTATGAAGACGTTTCTCAGACATCCAAGGGGTGGTGGGACAGTGATGGGCAGAAGTTAGTGTCTTAAAGAGAGTCTTCTACCTTGTCTTCAAAGTGTCCAAATTCTCATCAAGATTCTAAATCACAGATTATTTATTTATTTTTATAACAGATATATGAAGTTTTCTGGGAAATGTTTTGGGATAATTTGATGAAAAAAGTTGTGTTTTCTTGCCAAGTCTGGTATGACTCCTTCTTCAACGGTGGGCAAAGTCTTATAACCCATTGGTACCTCAGGTTCCTAGCCTCAACGTGGAGATTCTTTGCTCCATCCTGTTTCCCTTTCTTGTGTCTTTAGATGATAATTTTTTAGGCTAATGACTGTCCCTGATTGTACAATACCCTGTACTCTGGCCTAAAATAACAGTTCAGTACTTTATTCTTAGTCCTACCATGTGTTTTGTGCATGACGCTGGGACAATCGCTTACCCTCTCAGCGCTTCTGTTTTCCTATCTGCAAAGTAGCGATAATGCCTACTTCCAAAGCAAATCCCTTGGCTGGAAGGTGCCACCTACGTGCTGAGCACTGTTATTCCTTCTGCTAAATGTGCATGTGACCGTCATTAAACGCGGACCGGACAGGCCGTTTTGTAACGGTGGTTGTCCCCTGTGAATGCAGGGACCCGTAATGGATCTGGTCTGGGCTGGGGGGAGGTAGTACCACCCCCTGAATGTGCTGCTCTGATGAACGGTAGCATTTCTCTTTTCAACAATTGGACAGCACTGTCTTCTGTGAGGTTTGCATTAAGATAAGATGGGCTTTGTTCAGATTTCTGCTTTTTTTTTTTTTTTCCCCCCCTTCCCCCCAGCATTGTTCAAGCTGGACAAATGGTTCTTTGTGGACATGTTAGTGGTGGCTTGCTTCTATTAAGGACATGAATAATTTCTTAACAAACAATCAAAGGGAGACAGTATTCATGTATGTTAAGTGCAATGAAATTATATCGTTACTGTTCTAAAGCAATCGATTAACTGATCGATTAAATTATATTACCTATTATGTATTAAATATGCTGTAACTTAAATTAACTCTAAATTGCATTGATATCTACAAAATACAGGTGTGATGGCTGGGTTCAATATGAGTGGAGATCTCCAGAAGCCTGCTACCAACATCCCCCTGGGGTCTCTGGCTGCTATTGGCACCTCGTAAGTCATAAATTGGGGAAAATTTACTCTTTGGAGACTGCCCTGGATGTGACCACTCCATTTCAAATTCCCATCAACCTTTTATTACTTAGCCATCTGGAAAATTAAATTCTGGCTCTCGTTCAAATTATCATCCATTATCACCACCTACTCTGGGTGGGTTAGAGAAGAGGTTCACTAATGCAGATATAATCAGTTCTTCCTCTGCCGGGTGGGATGTGTGTTGGTGTGAGAGCGGTTGTGCCGCTGCAGCCCAGCTATCCCGGAGCAGGATGCAAAGTTCTCGAAGGCTTGGGGTGCGTGAGTTTGTCACTTATCACTGTTGATTTCAAAGTGCTTTCTTTTTCTATGTAAATCATAAAGATAACAAATGTAAGATATAAAAAAATAGAATTTTTATTATTGGGAAAATAGGGCTGAGACAGGTGAGATGACCTACCCACCTGCAAGGCTAGGGGAACACAGGAGCCCTGCATCTCTGAGCAGTGCTCTCCCCTGGGGAATGCTGCTTTCCAGGAGTAAAATACTGTTACATATTAAAAAAAACACAAAACACCTCAGTAGATTTTCCTGCCTGCTTTCATTGCCACCTAAATTGCTTTTGAAATTACTACTTTTGATTGTGTACCAAGGTTCAGACAGAGAGGAAGGATCTTCAGAATTTAGAGGGATTCCTGTTGAAATTAGTGCTTGTTTTAAGTGAGGGGATTGCACAGGACACAGAAGTATCACTGATGGGTGGACTGTGGTCATTCACATCTCTGCTGTCTGGGCTTTGCAGACAGACTAGCTTATCCCTCCACCTGAGTACTGGAGAGGCCAGAGGCACCAAAGGAGGATCATGACTGAGGCTGTAGAGCAAGCTGGCTGCGGTGTTTAACGTTACTGCCAGACGAGGGGACCTGTGTACCTGCAGAACTGTAGAAACATAGAAAGGTTTGGGTTGGAAGGGACCTTTAAAGGCCATCTAGTCCAACCCCCATGTCATGGGCAGGGACATCCATCTTCAACTAGATGAGGTTGCTCAGAGCCCTGTCCAACCTGACCTTGAATGTTTCCAGGGATGGAGCATCTACCACCTCTCTGGGCAACCTGTGACAGTGTTTCACCACCCTCATTGTAAAAAAAAAATTCTTCCTTCTGTCTAGTCTGATCTACCCTCTTTTAGTTTAGAACCATTACCCCTTGTCCTATCGCTACAGGTGCTATTAAAAAGTCTGTCCCCAGGACTGGGTTATGCCCCCCATGCTCACATCAAGTTTGCAGGTAGCTTCCCCTCGGGGGTGTCGTACGGCCACGCTGCAGCTGTCCCTGGTGCACTATAGTGGGTAAGTAATGTGGACCGGTCTTAAATTTAGCCCTGAGGCTAAATCATGCAGGAACAGCCCATGCAGGGTGATTGAAGACCCAACTTGCAGGTATTTAACCTTCTCCTGGCTCTGCTAATGGGTAGAATTCTCAATGGTCTTCTCTTGCTGGAAAAATAATAGTTTATTTTTATTGTTTGCAGGTGGTTTCTGTACATGGTCTTTGTTTTTTTGCTGGGAGCCATTTGTACCCGTCAGTCCCTCCGCTATGACTTCATGATAGCAGAGAAGGTAACTTGTTCGAATAACCCAGTGTGGTTTTATATAACGGTGCTTTCAGGTTGCCATCTGCTTTATTGAACGCTTGAACTTCTCCAGAAGCCTGAGGAATTTGGGTACCCATCCCTCATTGACATTCAGGGGGATTTTCCCATTGCAAATCGCAGCATACAATTGATTTGAATAGCTTTGCATTCACCAGCATATCCAGTAATGCTGAATCTTGGCATAATCACCCGGCAATAGCTTTAAGAGCTAAAATATGCTAATGTGGTCTAATGATAAATGCTGTATTTTATTCAATGTATCCTTTCTCAGTGGTGAAAGCTTAGACCAAATTGAAATCTCTAAAGAACCCCCCTGCTTATCTTTACTAAGTCAAGCGAGGCTTACATTTCCGTATCTAGCGGGCTGTAATTGCAGGGTGAGCAATAGGATTATTAAACTCGAGGCATTCCACATGGGTGTATGTACCATGAGGGAGGTTTGTAGCGCTACAGGCAATGAACGTTGTCATTGCGGGCCCTTAAAAAGAGAGCAAAAGGTTTCCATGTGTGTCACTGTCTTACTTTAAATGGGTTATGGGATATAATTTTCTATTATTCAGCATTATCCAAAATCATGGGTTCATCATATTTGACACTGTTTTTTGTGATTAATTTAAAATTGACATGTTTGTCACTTATTTGATTGTAATGTGGTTTTAATCTAAAATATAATTTTGAAACTCTGGCTTCATTTTCTCTCTAAGTAATTGTAACTCTAGACTTCCTCTAGTCCCCAAAATAAATTCCAAGTTATTGGTGGGGTGCCTGCCACTTCCTCTAAGGTAAGAAATCATTTGTTTCAGGGGAAAAAAGAATGAGCCTACCTTCTTTGTATGTCAATGTGACAGACTAAGTGGGCGAAAAGTACAGTAACTAAAATGCACCTTTGAATGAATCACCTGACAAGAAAAAGATCGTTTAAAAAAGCTGTGTTTTAACTTTAAAACCCTCTGGAGGGAAAATGTCCCAGTAAAGAATGTGAAGATATTTAATAGTGTTAAATATAAAAAAACAAAACTAAAAAACCCCGCCCAACACCCCCACCCCCCAAAAAAGCAAATTGAATTTTCTTTTCCCTAGTATGGTACAAAACAATGGTGCAATCCCAATAGTCATGTTGCTTCTTTGAGTTATTGCAAGCCACTTTCGATTTTAATGACTTTGGAGAGAGGGAGGGGAGGAGGAGAAACCATTACGCATCCAACATGCAAAGTCTCCCTTTCTGTCACTCACAGGTGAGCTTGGCTGCTTTTCTCCCTTACAGTACTTGTTTGCCTTTGTAAACATAAAAATGAGATTCAGTGATTTCACTTCTAATGAGCTCAAAGTGCCAATTTCTTACAAAGTATTCACACTCTCTGTGCTCAAAGCCACCAGCAAACCCTTTTATCAGCCTCAGTGAAAAGGACTCTTCCCCTCTAACCCTGATTTGAATGTCAAGTAGTACATTTAAATGCAAGCATTTTTGGCAGCTAAAATAATATATGATGTCTGGCACAACTAATTGTTTCTTCCAAGTATTTCTCAGAGCAGGGCGAGATTAGAGAGGGAAGGGAAGATGCCCCATTCAGTGTATGTCCATTGGTCTAATGGAAGCTGATATCTGCTCATCTTTCTCTCAAGTTTCTTCTGTCCCACAAGATAAAATTCACAAGGCCGAGTGGATTTTCGTGGGGAAAAGAAATGTTGTGGTAGGAGGTTTGTACGGTTCTGGACCACGACATCAATTTTACATACCCAACCTCCTTTTCACCACGTGTGGGTTTCACGGATGAGGAAAAGGCAGATGTAGCTTGAGTCATCTTTAGACATGTAAATTTTTGTAATTCCTTCTAATAAAGCATGCACCACCTGACATCAACAGGGGCAGAAGCCGGGAGGACCCATGTGCATTTAGACCTTTTTTTCCCACGAAAGGAGAGGTGGGAGTGAAGGACATGCGGCTCATGGGGGACCTGCATTCAGTGCCATCCCCCGCCACGGATGTCTGCGGGCACCTCCAGCAGCTCGCTTCAGTGGAGTATGGGCAGGATGACCAAAATTTGGATTTTTTTTTTTTTTCTCCCTGCCTGGCCTCTGTGCTGGTGTTACCCCCTACCTTGATTTGCCTTTCTCTGTGGCTGGCTGCTGGCTGTCAGACTCAGGTGGTCTTGCAGGACGTGGGGATGGCTCAGGTGACCTTAGTCTCCTTGGCTGTGTCCGCCCATGTCCTCACACCACGGTACCAGGAGCACTCCCAATTCAAAGCTTTCTTGCCCAGTGTTCATATTGTGGGGGTTTGTGTGTTTGGATGGGTATTTTTTTAGAGATGCTGCCTGTGCTTGCAGCACCTGACAGTGGTGACCCCAGACCTTGCTTCTGTGTGACAGACCACGAGCTGCCCTCCTTTCCCTCCACGTCTGCAGGAGATGCTCCCTTTTTGGAAGAGTGCTCACTAGAAACCGGTAATAAACCCGGCCTTGTTAGCACTGTGGCTTTAAAGATTTTTTTATTTGTTTTTTAAAAGTTTCATGTCGGCCAAAGGAAATTCTTTTCTCATTGAAGACAGGAAAATAAGGTCATTGTATTATATCCTTCAGAGCATATTTTTTGAGTTGCCATTTAAGTGGCAATTTTGATTTGGTTTTACTGTGGATTTTCTTTCAGGATTGGTTTTCCCCTCTGGGACGCAGGGGTTTGTCTTCCTGTTTTGGATGGTTGGAAGCCTGGGCAGCTTTTCCTGTATGATGTGCTCTGTATATAAGTGATCTCTCCTGAAATAAACTCACTTCCAGTTACTTAAGGGGAACCTAATAGCTGCTGCTTTGCCGCAATTGCTCCAAGTGACAAAGAATTTCTTGGATATGAGCTTGTCAAATGGCTCTGTCGGTACAGGATGTTCAGTATTAAATTACTTTTATGGGATAATTTTCCTGTATTAATTGCTTGCACTTTATACCACAGACCAGTTAAATTGCTGCTTTCCTAGGGCTCGTTCTGTTCATTTTAGCAATGTTACAAAATATATGTGCTCTCTTAAAATACATGTATTTAAGACTGCTCGGGGGTCTTTAAAGAGCAATATAATCAACTTTGCATTCTCTGTGCTTCCTCCAGGTATCCTTGGTGGGTTTCTTGTTTTTGCTAGGGCTGTACATCTCGTCCCTGGCCTCCTGCATGGGAGGGCTGTACGGAGCACCCAGGATCCTGCAATGCATCGCCCAGGAGAACGTGATCCCCATGCTCGCCTTCCTGGGACGTGGGGTTAGTCGTCTTTTCTCTGAGATTGCTCTCAAGCCTTCACCTGAAGGAAAACTGGTGATTTAAGAAGCCAGGGTTTCTGGGTGTCTGTAGGGTGAGATGGGGGATGTATGAAAATTGAGAAGGGGAGGGTTTGGCATCTGGTACCCTACAGTAGGCAGAAAAGCCAGGAAATGGGTGGTTTTATAAAAAAAACCAAACCCAAGAGCCTGGCTGCTCTGGTCCTTTCCCTGCCTGCCGCCCATGCTGCACTGCCTCTGCCCTGAGCCCTCCCACGGGGCTCAGCACCGCAGAGGACCAGCACTGCTTCGCCCAGCATCTCGCTCACCCACCTCTGCACCCTGGCCCCCGGGGCTATCTGTCCTGTACCCCCCCACACACAGAGCCCTTCCTGCTCCTCCCGCCAACCCACTGCTTTCAGGATGCCCCTAGTAACACAACTGCTTATGATACAACTTTACCTGCGGGTTGTTTTTTTTTTTTTTTTTGAAACGCCTTATCTACGCTGGACTGATGGAGGTACTGGTACCTAGCTCTTTTCTGCCCTCCTGTCCAGGGCAGAGGCCTGTAGCTTTTGCCCAAGCACTTGTTGAAAGGGAGAATAACTGCCTCTTTATCCTTTTTCTTTTTACTTTTTTTTTTTTCTTTCTTTGCTTCACTTTTTCTTTGAGCTCTTCCTATCCTCTTTGGTAACCTCATCGCTGAGTATGTGACTAGTCACGGTGCAGTAGATTCAGTCTTCGTGCACCGGAGGAGAGGATGCTTCTTTGTAAGATAAGGTGCCTTTTGAACACCACAAAATAAAAACAAAGAATAGATTTGAAAGGTTAAGTTAGGGGGCTGATAAGCTTTAGATATGCTTTGAAACAAAGCCTTGCTTTGAATATGACAAGAGGCTTTTTCCTTGTCCTCATAAGTAATTCCTGTTCACATGAATCGTCGTTCCCCGAGATCAGTCAAAGTACCAGTCACTAAGGAGTCTGTAGGCTTGGGCTATACATCCACAGCAAACTATTTTTTATGTCTTTCTCTTCTTCTAAACAGGGACAAAATAATTCCCTCGCTCTCAATAACCTGCAGCACCTAACTGTCTGTAGCAAAGGCTGGAAAAATCTTACGATATCTTACGACATTTTGCTCCTTCAGAGCAGCTTGTAAATATTTTACAGTATTGGTATTTATGAATGTTTTAAAATCTTTAAATGTTTTATAGGTATATGCTTTGGTTTATGTTTCTCAAAGTAATTTTCTAAAATTAAAGCCACAATAATAGCAATATTAATAATAAATAGTAATGATTGTAAGTGAAGCAGGAACAATAATGACAGCAAAAACTTCCAGCTCCTGAAAGCAGTTGTCAGGCGATCCCCGAACAGGCTGTTCTCTGCTTGGCAATCCTTTGCAAATTCTCAGTGATTTAGCAAATTTGACTGCAAAGCTGATTCCCTCTCTTCTCTGATAGTTTTCTGTCTTCCTGTTAGATTTTCTGCTCTGAACTCTGTCCGGGCAGAATGCCACAGTGGGAAGGGCCCAAAAAGAGGTGAGGAATCAAAGGCAGATCACTTTCCCCCTGTCCTTCTCTCTGCCACCTTGAAAGTTGTCTAGATTTGGTTTATGGAGAGTTTACAAATTTAGTTTGCCCTTAACAATCAGTTCCACATCAGTTCTTCTTTTCCATGGTTGAAAAAAGTGTTGTAGTCACCATAACCCCCGCTGATGGGAAGGACACGATTGTTTTCTGTAGAGTTAAACCCAAGCCAGAGGCATCCCGAGATGGTACCATCTGTTCCCCATCTCAGTACGTCTTTCTGATACCAAAGATGCTTTCTGAGAACCGCGTTCCGTTATCCCTGAGGCATATTTCTGTTTCACTGTGAAAAGGCATAAGATCCAGAACTGGTCCCCTTTTCTATTAATAAAATAGAAATAGTTTCCATTTGAGCTGTGTGTTTAGTAAAGAAGCACGTGCAATAAGTGAAAACCTAAGATATTTTGTAAGATATCTTGTAAGATATTTTCCAGCGAGGTCTTTACACAGCCTGCACAGGCTTCTGGGCTACTGAAACAGCGAGACAGTGCCTGGTACAAGGAAGGACACGTTAGACCTGGGATTAAAGTTCACGAGCTGATGGCTAAAGCCCTTCCACCCCCTGATGCCCTTTGCTTTGTCTCCCTTTTTCTCCTCCTCTCCCTGCCTTCACCCCAGCCCAAAGGAGAAGAGCAGGCGGTGTTTCTCCTGGCTGCCTGCCGCCCCCCAGCATCCTCTGCCTGACCTCTCTGCTGCTTTCCTCCTGCTGCTGGGCAGACGTGGCTTGGCTGGAAGAAAGGAGGGAAAGCCCAAGCGCAGAGGCTCAGCAGACCATGGATTTAGCTCAGCCTCGTGTCAGGGCAGGGCCAGAAGCTGCTGATGTGAAGGTGGCACTGCTCCACGCAGGCAGAGCTTCCTTGAGTCTCTCTGGAAGTTGAAGCCTTTCCAGCGGCAGCGTGCAGGAGCCTTTTGAGTAGGCAGCGATGTGGAGTCCTGTTGGGAAATTTGAGATGAACGGTTAACTCTAATTAACACGTTTTATTGCTGGACTTCCCATAAGCCCCACAAATCTCTGAAGGTTTATTGCTGCTTTAATGACATTGTTTTACCACAGAGATATGGAGTGAGAGTGGATGAATTTTCCAAAGACAAAGCTTGAGTAAGGCTCAGAGGTGAGGTGGGAGCTCAGCAGCTTTTGGCTTCCAGCCTGTTCTTTAATTTATTAAGCTGGTCAGTCTCTGCTTGCACATGCATGCATGTATTTCGTGACTAAGAGGGTCCTGCAGACTGCTCATGACAGCTGAGCAAGCGGGGAATCCTCACGGTGAGGCTCAGGGTTGTTAATTTAAATGTAAGTTTGTTTTACTTATGAACTAGAAAGGACCCAACAAGACTCCAGTGGCTGCGATTTGCTTAACGAGTCTCATCACCATGGCTTTCGTCTTCATTGGGCAAGTGAATGTTCTTGCTCCCATAGTCACCATCAACTTCATGCTGACGTATATTGCTGTAGACTATTCCTATTTCTCAGTCTCCTTGAGCTACAACATTCAGCAGAAGCCTGACGAGACCCAGATGGAAAACACTAGGCCTGCTCACTCTTCCCAGCCTTTAATTTTCAACAAGCCCTCCAGCCGTGCAGCAGATGGAGTAATTCAAAGCAGGTCAAACGGCACCTTGTTGGAATTCACAAAAGACATGGACCAGCTTTTTAAACCATTTCATAGTGAGCCAAGTACTTGCAAAAAAGGAGGAGCCGAGAATTCAACCCAAAATGTCAAACAGAAGAAGGCAAAGAAGCCAGCCAAGCAGACGTTACAAGACAGCTTTCTCCTGGATCTCCATCACGATGCTCCCCTGGCTCAGTACGGCTGGGATGAGACCACAGAGCCCTGCAGCAAGAGCCAGCAGGACCTGGCTGAGCAGGTCCATCAGCATGACATGGGTCCATGCTCATCACCTGCTGCGGATGCCCAACAGACACCCGGGCTGCTGGAGCGGGGGGAGCAGCTCTGCAGCGAGGTGCCGGAGAGGAGAGGTAAGGGCTGTAGGAGATGGACATCTCCGTGCTCACGGGGAATGGTTTATAACCTTGGTGCTCCCGGTGCTTTCCTGAAGGCAGGCATGAAACTAGCTTTATACGGGGCTGTCATTCGGTGATTCATAGCAATAATATCATTTATTCCAGGTGAGGGTCGAGTTCATCGCAATGCATCACAGGAGAAGTTCCAATGCAATTTCCTATGGAAGATTAATCACAGGAAGGCAGGCAGGACTATATTTAGTGTAGGGCTGTTTACTGTATACTCATTATTCTACACATGCACGCTTAATGCTGTACATTTAAAAGGTTTTGAGTGTATCCTGGGGTTTAATTCATCCTGGTGCAGGGCAGGAAGGATGGAGCTGTGCGAGTCTGACTCAGGCTCTCAAAACGCAGTGGTCCCCTTGCCGCAGGTGGAGCCTATAATTCAACATCCACAGCTAAGAGTCTGAATTTGTGTTGTTGGCGATGTGGGTATTGGATACCATGTGTTTGCCTGGAGTTTGTCATCTCAGTGCTGTGGTGTTTTATCAGCATTAGTCAATTAAGCTTTGTAAACCCCTCTGAGGGAGAAAATTATTCTTTCTCTTTTTTTCCCAAATAGAGAAACTGAGGCAGAGGTAGGCAGATGTGGCCTTCAAATGGACTCAGTACCAGAGTTGGCAATTTTTTTTTTCTTGCACTTCTTTTCTGTTTTCATTTTAGAGGTTTTGGTTTAACTCTGCCATACCCAGCTGTCAGCTAGAATTTCTGCTTTGGTTTTCTGGAATCTGGTAATCTAAAATAGGAGAAAAAACCCCACATTATAGCTCCTTTCTAATGTCTCTTTTCTTTTTTTTTATTTATTTTTTTCTTTCTCTGTAGAATCATCTATAAAGCAACAAAATCCAGACCTGGGAATTCAGCAAATACCAGAATCCTTCTACTCCAAATTCTGCAATCACTGGGTTTCCTTTGCTGGTGTAAGTAATTTTCTTTTATTTTGAGCACTGGTTTGTGATTGTGGAAAACAGAAAGAAATTCATCACTTACTGGAGTGTAAGTACACTGGAATGTAAATACACTGGAGTACTTTAAAATTTCTAGTTTCTAGTATTCCAGGTCACCTGAATTAAGTACTCAAGGTACCATGCACCCAGCAGTTCAAATTCAGAGAAAGCCAGATGGCATATTAGTTAAAACAACAACAGCAACCACCACCACCCCCCCACCCCCCCAACCAAACAAACAAACCACAAAACAACACCTCTCCCCCCCCACCCCCCCAAAAAAAACCCCAACCCAACACTCCAACAAACAAAACAAAACAAAAAACCAAACAACCCAACCCAAAAAGATACAAATTCAAAGTCTGGCATCTTGGGACTTCAGAGATGCATGGCTGGCTGGCTGGGGGGGGGGAGGAAATCAGTGTCCCTCTTTGCACTGTGTGCCAGCCTGCTTTTTTTTGCCTTGGGATAGAGACATCAGCTTCAAAGCTGCGTTGCATTTATTTATAAGCCAGTTTCTGCAAGCTCGGGGTAGGGTTTCATTAGCACTGACCTCCTGCTACCAGCAGCCTGGCTGTGAAATTCCATCTTTTGAGGGAGGAAAGTGGAGCATTCCTCCAGCACGTTAGTTTAAAGAATAAATAACTTTTAAATAGCTTCTGTCTCGAGCCACTGAGGAGTTTAAGACATTTAAATTCATCTTGGGAAGATGGATTAATGGGCAGATGACAGGGAAAGGGTCAGATATGCATAATGAATGAACCATATGGCTTTGCTGCATGGATGGGGATTTCATAGCTGTGCGTAAAATGTAACAAACCCACTTGAACAACACACCAAACACTTTCAGTTTAATCCTCTTTTCAAATTCACTGCTAGAAGCCAGCTCCCAGTGAGGGGTCCCGCCAGACTGCAGTGCCAGGGGTGGGATGGATGCGGAGGCTCCTCTCTAGCAATGACATCTTCAGGAGGTTGCGCACTGATGCTGTCTCTGGGCTCGGTGACTAACGTGGCTCCCAAGCGCGTGTCATCGCGGAGCGGTCAGCTCTCTGCCTTCGGGGGGAATTTGCTTACGGAGATGACTGACATGTTCATTAAAGCAGATTTGGTTTCCTGTCAGTAATCAGGGTTGGGAGGAGGTTTCAGCAGAGCTGAGAAGGGATCAACGATGCAAAATAAAATCACAGAAGGAAAAATCAGATGCATTTATTCATCCTGGCTCCTTTCCCCTCTGCCCTCTCTCTTTGAGCTTCACCAGTCGTGTCAGTCTGGACTCATTTAGATCTTTCTTTGTGTGCCGCCCCTTGCTGTTTCTCACCTCACCTGTGAAGATGCTACCCCTGCCCTCTTTCACATCCCGTTGAGCCAAATCTACCTCCTGAGCTGGTGAGCCTCTGGATACTCCTCTTGGAGTAGCCCAAGCAGAGACCTGAGGTCCACGCTGCCTCTAGGACTCAGGGTAGTTCACCGAAAGCTACCTCCATGCCACTGAAGATGACACTGTAAACCTGTACCGTCCCTCCTTTTGACAGTGAGACCTAACAAGGCTCCCTATAACACGGGAACCTCACTACCAAGAAACCTCAGCCATGCCCTACCCAGATCTTTTCAGCTAAGGAAATGCTCTACGTGTGGCCAAAAGCCAAGCACCATGGAGTGTTGCAGGCAGGAGATGATGTGGTTTCCCAGGGGTCCTGCTATCCCACCGGCCTCAGCCACCAACGCCCAAGAGCATCCATCCACCCATGTGGTTGCAGCTGGCATCATTCCTCCCATGGGCAGGACGTGGGCTGTGCAGCAGGTCTTGTGCAAGGAGATCCTCTGTTGTGTCCCCATCCCATAACGTCATTAGGAGGGAGGCACCTAAAAGCAGACGCTCATCAGGATAATTCTGGCTGCGTCCTGGATCCTGACTGTGCGTGTCTCTTGCACAATGTTCCCAAGAAGACCCTGAGAAAGTCAGAGGTGCAGAGATGCCTTCAAAGCACTGGTTTTGCATGCATTTAAAACCAAGATGCAGCATTTCTGGGAAAAAGCATTTACTGATGCTCTCATAAGAGCTTAAAGCCCCAGCACTGCCTCGGTTATCAAGGAGTTTCCGTTAGAGCTGCAATGCTAGCTCATCTTGCCAGGTTGAGGAGCAAACTGCTGACCCGGTGTCAGGCTGTGTCTGTGGGTGAGCGGTCCTCCCCGGGCTCTGCGCTGCCAGCTCTCCCGCAGGGCCGGAGCAGGAGGTCAGCAGAGCCGCTGGGCTTTGCAGAAAAGGGACTGTCAGATTGTCATCATCGTATTATCTTACGGATTCTGGGGTAACCCCACACGGTGTCTTTCCAACAGGCGATCGTGTCCCTCATCATAATGTTTGTCATTCAGTGGATCTATACCCTGGTCAGCCTGGGTGCAGCGGTTATTCTGTATTTCTACATTGGCCAAGTGAGCCCAGGACTCCCCCTTGGTGAGTTTGGGGTTTTTTTCTGTATTATTAAATCTGCTTAAAAATTCATTAAGCTTTAATTTACCTTAATGAGGAATTGAGACTCTTGTGTTTAATATGCACATGACACAGTGAAGGATGAGGTTTTGTTTCATTGCTAGTTTTAATACGTTTTCTCTCTGACTCTTTAGTTTTATATTGGATTCTAACTGTAACTAGCATTGGTTTGATAGTTTGAACATTGTGCTTATTGCTTTATTATATTGTATTTCAATTGGCAAAACCAGATACTAATACTAAGAATTACCAGCGTGGCAGATGATTGTAAATATATCACAGCAATGAGAAAAATCTGCCATAAATATGTTTTAATAAACTTAATTAATCAATCTAAACCCACCTGGGAAAACTTTAAAGAAAATGGTAATTATGACAAGTATCTCATTAATGCTCAGCATTCATAACTGTGGAACAAGAGAGCCTTTTGATGCCAGAACTAACCAGGTTGAATGTGTTGGGAATGTAATCTGGGAAAATACCCTTAGGCAGAGGGCATTACAAAGGTCTGCGCATGTGATCGGCTTAAACAAATTCAAAATTAAACAGTGAAGCACATTCAGAAAGCAGCTCACGAGAGCCTACAGCTCCTTGGCACGGCCGCAGGAGGGGTTTGCCTTGGTCTGTGTCTCTGAAGGGAGAAGGTGATATGCACACAGTACACACATACGCACCTACTTCTGCGTTCATACATACGTAGGTGCATGCATACGTAAGTACCTGCACGCGGGGATGTGCAATTTTTTGTCCAAGAAGAGAAAAGTCAAAAGAGCCTGAGTCCATATGTCTTACAGGCAATGCAGAACTAGCTACCCAGGTTTATTTAGATGAAAGATTATTAGACATTAGGTAGGGAGGTACTAGATTTCAGAAACCCAAATGATGAGAAACCAAAAAATAGTTGTCACTCAGTAAACATCACAACTTCGCTCACCAGTGCTTCTCTTTCTACTCTGACTTCTTTTCTGTTTATCTGTATGTGATAGTAGAAAAGGGCTGAGACTGTGGATAGTACTTGCTAATTTATATTTTTTGAAATACAACACAATGTTTTCAGGCTTTGGAGTTTTCTTTGCCTTTGTACATTCCATTATTATATCTCTGTTATCTGCTTTTGAAATATTTACCAAAAATTACTTTAAAAAGAATTTCTCAGTGTATAGAGGATTTTGGAAGGTGATCTGAGAAACAGCAGCACGATTAGACCTTTTTTTTTCTTGGTTTCTTTTGCACATGCATTCCCACGAAAACAGTAAAACAAGGCACAGCAAGAAAAAGTTAGGAATGAACACTGATTGTTATTTGACTGTGAGTGAACGTTATTTTGTGGTCACGTGGCATCCAATGATCTGTGAATTTGTTCTTCAAAGGACTGAATGACCTTTCTGTCTAGAAAGCTTTTGGGAGACACTGGCTTGAGAGATGCTCTGGATTAAGGACTAGATGAAGACCTTGGGAGCAGAAATGCTCTGGGATTTTGACACATCCTTTTTCTCTCAGGGCTTTACTGGGGTTTAAAAAGCTATCGGTCTGGGAAGGGATAGCTGTTCTCCATGGGAAATTTGGGTTCATTTCTTGACAATCAATTAAAAGCTGCAGCGTGTGGGAAGGCTGCAGGAGAGTTCTCACCATCGTGAAATCTTTGTGTACTGAAGGCTAATAACAAGCATGATGGTTTGAGATTTTATGCAAAAATTCAATGGTGTAATGCTATTATGAGAGAATTAGCAGTGTACTGACTTCTCGTGCCTTTTCTCTGTAGGAGCAGCAGCGAATTTCAGTTTCTTCAGCTGGATTAAGTCGGTTTTGCTCACCTCGTGCAGGTTGGTACCAGTCACTTGGCAGTGACGAGGCAGTGCTCCTTGTTCCCGTGACCCACTAACGTTCAGAGAGGGGTGGCAGAGTTGACTTGCCTATTACCTTAAGCAGTCCCTTCTTGCATACACAAAGTTATTCTCAATGGCAAAAATAACTGTTTGCTCCCGTCAGCCTGGCGTATGGCTGACCACGATAAGTGGGAGAGCTGGTTTCCTCTGCCTTACGTGTGGACGTGTCAGCTGATAGCCATATCTCAGCGCCTGAAGCTTTATCGTACCCCAAAGGTCTGTGCTCAACCTTGGTGGCTCAGGTTGAACTGGAAAATCTGGAAGTGAGGAACAGGAGACTCCATCTCTTCCACCCACCATCCATTGAAAGCAAATTACTACAGTGGTGGTGGAACAGGCACACGTGGCAGCTGTGCTTGAGTTTCAGAGAGGAAATCTGGGGGGGAGCCACCATAGCTACAGGGAAAATACAGTAAACAAGGTCTGCAGTGAAGGAACCGTTCAGCATTGAATTTGCATGGGACTGCAGTAGCCTTGAATTGGGGTTTTCCTTCGCAGAAGAACTTCAGGGTTTTGTCTGGTTGGTTATTAACTAATTTTGTTAATCTGTTTTGATCCTATTAATTATTAATTCCATCACATTTGGGTTTCCCACAGAGGGTAGTGACCATCTCTGCCACTGTACGGTGCAGTGGGATTTTGGGTTCTCAGTCTGTTGGGTTGCATTTGTGTTGTGGTGGGTGAACACTGTGGTGAGGACTGCACAACATGAGCTGCCATGCATTATGTGTGCAAATTTGGTGGCTTCTTTAAAATAATCCAGGCATTTAAGCATATTGGCACACACTCATGCCTGTCTTGCCAGCTCCTGCGTCTGCCCACAGTCCCTATAACATGGCCACATGCCTTTGGTAGCAGAGGTGGTTTGGGAGAGAAGCCAGGGGTGATGGGACCTCTCTTAGGTCCCCACAGCAGGTCTGTGGCATGGCCAGGAAGAGACCAGTTAGTTCTCCTGCCTCACATCCATCGCTCTCTCTACCAGACCAGTGGATGTCTCTGAGTATGGGACCAGGTCCCTGAAGACCCACCTGTCCTGCACGCCTCTTGCCATGAGTAGCTTTGTTCACACAGCTACTGCTGACTCTCATGGCAGTTGTGTAAGTCTGTACATAGACGGACTATTCAGAAGAGTGAGGGGGTGCAGAGGGTGTGCACTATGTTTTCTGCGTATCTCATTTGGAGTAAGGGGTTGTTCCCTGCCCTTTTCACGTCTGCTGGACTGGTGACATGAGCCCAAGCCAAGGGTGAGGAGATGAGGATGGAACAGGGCGCGTGGGGCCATGCTGAAGCACTGCCAGAATTACTCATGGCACAGTGAGTCAGACCCCACTGCTTCGTATCCCGGACACTTGTTTGTCTGGTTCCACCTCAGCATCCAGGCGGATTTGTGGCAGGTCATTTGAGCTCGATGCAGCTATGATAGAGCAGCACTTTCCTCCCCATTGTCCCTCGGTGCTTCTCAGCCCTGTCTCCAGCCCATTGTCGGAGGTTCCCCACTGGAGGCTGGTTGAGATGCAAGTCTTCATGGAGAGTTACCATGTGTGGAAAGGAGAAACTACTCTTCCCGGAGAGGCAGCCCCGCTTCTCGTGGGTAGAGGTGCCATTGTCGCAGGGGTTTTTTCTCCTGCGCGTTACCAGACTGGTCCTGTCCTTAGTGCTTTGATCAGTGCAAGCGATGAGCAAAGACCCTGCCGAGGAGGGCTGAGGGGAGCTGGAGAGTGCTCAAGGCAGAGACTGATCCTATTTCTCCCTCCTCAAAGAGTGCAATCTCTGGGTCAGCCAGCCAGCTTGGTCGCCTTACCCTAATGCCAAGGCTCCTGCTATGCTGGCACAAAACCAATTTCTGCTCTGCTTGGTGGGCCGGTTTTTTCTTGCTGCACAGCAAGAAATTGCGTTGAAGTGATTTGCATTTTTTCCTAAGCTTTGTTTCCTTGAAATCCAGGCAAGATATTTTAATGAACTGAAAGTAAAGAAGAAATCCCATTAGAGTGCAAGAGAGTTGGAGGCAACCAAGGATCCTTGACACCTCTAAGGCTCTTGTGCTCAGTGAGGTCTGAGCCCATGCTATAAGCTCTTGCCGTTTTGATTTGCAGGTGTGCAAAAACATTTTCTTAAAAATCAGCCTCTGCAATAAAGAGATTCCAAGAATATCTCCTCTTTCATTTAAAGGAGTTACAAAATAATTGAAATGTACACTAAAACTTAGGAAACTCTAAGGATATTTTTCATTAGAAATTGCTTGAGCTCCTTCTTTTCCTGCACAGTGTGGAAAGTGTTTGCCATAGCCAGCCTCCAAAGAGGAAACTTACTTGTTAAGAAAAATGTATATTTTCCAGTGGGGAAGGGAGTATATTTTTTTGTGTGCCTTCAAGGAAAAATATTTTCAGATTAGCTCTATGCCTCCCAAGGGCACCGAGAAGGATTTAGCCTCTTCACAGCAGCGGTTTGGCTGGTTTTGTTTGCACAGCCGCTAATGGATGGCAAACAAGGGGTGATGCAGGTGCCTCTGCTTCTCTGTTTGCAGGAGAAGGCCATCTCCCAAAGAGCAGATCGTGGTGACACCATCCTTTGCAACAGTTGGCATGGAGACCACGCAGCTCACAGAGGAGAACGCAGACTTCGCCTCGCGGGACCGCTATCACCAGTCCTCGCTTATCAGCAGAGAGGAGTTCCTGAATCAATTCCAGTAAAGGACAAAAAAAAAATAATAATCAAGCTGTCACTTCAAAAAGCATTTAGAAATGCTAATGACTGCCACGGTGCCTTGTGAAATACTTGAATATATACGAAAAGGATGCGACGGGTTATTTTTATATTTGAGGGTTGTTTGTTTATGCAAACTACAACATTGCTGGGTTTCAAATCTTATCCAAAATGGGGTAAAAAGTGCAAATGAAAGGGCCAGTCCAGGGAAGTGATGAGTTACTGAGGACAGTATAATCCTTTTAGAGAATTCAATTATAAGCACTATTGAGCTCTAAAGACCATCACCACTATAAAAGCTTACAACACCCCATTTCAAACGTTCTCTGGGTGACTAGGGACGCTTTGTGCCTGGGAGCGGTGACCTCGGCAGCAGGAGCCAGTGCCCCGCTCCCAGCTGTGCCACGGATGGATGCGACCTTCCAGGTCGATTCACTTCTCCTCTCAGCATGAATTTGCCTGCTCGTAATACAGTAATTTTCTACCTCAGCATTTCAATTTCCAAGGTCTTAGAAAGTACTTTAAGGCATTAGACAATAGGCCGTAATCAGTGGCAAGTGCAAGAAGATTATGAAATATATTCACAACTGGAATCGCACATTTAAATGCAGTAATGCAATATAATGACCTCTACTGTGAAACTGTAAAATGATGTCTTAGCAGCTGTTCATAGTGATTTCCTACATCCTTTCTGATGTGGCACCTGGGACCCAACAACAAAGGTGGGTCCAAATAGAGCATCTCCTGGCTGAAGGGACAGATGGTTCAGAAATGCCTTAACAAAATACATTTAGCCTCATCTTTGCTAATTTTACTTAAAGCCCATCCCATAGTGAGCTCCCACAAGGAGCCATTTCTCCTGCTGCCATGATTTGGGATGCAGGAGGTTCAGCGGGGAATGCTGCAGGGTTTCTCACGCAGACCTTAGGGTTGGTGGGCAGCGGCTGTGGGGTGGGGTGGGGTGAGGTGTTACATGGATGTCTCTGTCACCATCGCTTCTGCTCCCCAGGGAAAAACCTCTCTGCTGAGCACTGTCCTGCTTCCAGGCAGTGGTCCTGGCAGAGACCCAGGGAGGTGCGAGGGAGGGCTCTGGATTGGGGGCAAGCCCCAGCAGCACAAACTGTTCTGATGCTAAAAGGAGAGGGAAATCACTGCCTTTCACTTCCTCTCATATCTGATCATTTCAGCCTGTAGATTATTTATTTCTCCTTCTGTGCAATAAAATCTTGAGACACGAAGATCTCCTACCTGTGCTTGCTGTGGACACGCTCGATGCCTTTGACCACCGTTCTGTTTGCCAGCGCTTGGCGCCCCGATGTTACCAGCCGTGGGGGGACTCGCCGTCCCATCTCACGGTCTGACCAGCTGCAGCTTTGGCTCTTCCAGTTTTCTTACAGAGAGAAGCAAAGGAGGCTTTCTACTGAGGTGAAGAAGAGAGCAACCCTGCCACGCTGCAGAAAGTGTATTCATTTTTCAAGGTTGCAGGTCTTTTAGTAAGTGTTTTTAACCTTAATTATCTCAACAGAGGCAAGAGGGAAGTTATGCTTGTGTGGCCAGCTCTGAGCCACCTCGAGTCAGTCGTTCTGTGTTGGAAACACCCCTTCCAGGGTTCTTTTCTTCCATTGCCTTTTGCCTTTGGTTTCCAAAGAGTCTGGATCTGTTGTGGTGATGTGGCTCCATGCTGAAGCTTCCCCTGGGTTTCCTGGGACCAGCAGCTCCAGAGAGCCCTTCCTGTGCTCGTAGCATCCTTGACCTGGGCAGCTACCGCTGTTGTGCAAACTCCAGACGCTCCTTGATCCAAGCTGCGTGGTGCTGTGTTATCCCCTGTTACAGTCTGATACACAACCATCGTGTCATTACTGTAAAATCTTGTATTTCCTAAAGTCCTGTCCCATCAAAATATTGCGGGGTGCCTTCCCTCCCCAGACAGGCAGTGCCCAGCCCTGTGTTTCTCTGTAGTTTGAACAAAAGAAAACCCCAGAGCACGGCATGAAAGTGATTCATGGGCAGAAATTACTGGGTTAACCTCTTTGTTAGCTCCTAAAAGATTTAGTTTCCTTCTTAAAATAAGGCAGCAGTCGAGATCCAGAGAGGGAGGAGAGGGAAGGTTCCTTGGCTGTGTACCTTGTCTTGGTGCGAAGCATTTGCCTCTCCGACACTGTGGTCCCTGCTCGTCCCCAAACTGGGATGTGATGTGCCAGAAATACAAGCAGCTGCTCTCTTGGGCTGGCACTGCTGGGAAGGTGCCTCACAGCTTTGCTTGCAGCCAGCTAAGTCTGCAGCTGCTGTCCCCGTCCCCTGCCACCACCGGTCCTGCACCTTTAGCTCCAGCAGCCCTTTGCATCTGAACTATTTCAGTTGTGTTTGCCCACTGGCAAAGCCTCCGCCAGCTGCCAGAGAAAGGCACCACACTGTGCAGAGGAAAGGCTGTCTGGAGGACTCTGGGGTGCAGGGATGGGTCATGCCTTGGGATTTCTGGAAAAAGGCAGTGGCGGGGCTGGCTTCAGCGCCAGATGGCCATAGCTGCTATCGGGACATGGCAGTGGAGGAGATGCTCTGCAGAGCATGTCATGCCGGGGATTTCTGGTCTTTGGGCTCCACGTGCTGCTGCTGGAGAAACTCTTCCACCTCCTCCACGGGCACCACCGGCACAGCAAGTACCAGCTCCCTCCACCACCCGGTAAGTACAGGCACTCGGTCCTTTCCCCGCCTCGTATCTGCAAGGGAGGAAGGCATCACACAGGGCCGTCTTCCTTGCTGCTGTCACAGGTTATGAGTAAAGCAACTTTCCTGTTTAATGCTTGAGAAGGGACGTGCTGATCTTGCAGCAGGAGTGGAGGGAAGCCGTGTTTTAGCACTGATAACCCCACAGACTGGGTAACATTGGAGACTCAATGGGTTCTGGCCGTACGGGTATGCAGGGCTTTGCACATCAAGGAAACTTTTCCAGCGAGAAAGCAAGAGCAGTTGCATTGCCAAAGATCGGGCTATCGTGTCAAAAACGTCTGTAGTTTCTGTAGCACTCTAAAAAAAATGGGTGAAATTAGGGGTAGGAATTCATCAGCTTCATGTTTAGTGGTTGAAGGCAAGAAATATGGGTGAGGATTGCTGCTGTGAGTGGACATGTGCTGCTTTCACCCCCCTGGGAACCAGGCTATGACTCCAGATGCTGCAGCTTTCATGAAGCTTCAGTTTCCCTGAAGGTGGGTTTGGGACCCAGCTCTGAGCATCATAGGTCCCATGTAGGTTGCAGCTTGGCTAATGTCATTATGGAAAGGCCCTCCTATCTTCTAAGCCATGTAAGCTTTGTTAGCATCTATAATTATTTTCCTTTTGGTTGGAAATTTGATTTTTAAATTATTATTATGTAAGAAATGAGAAGGTTTTGCAATGGATCAGGGTGTGAAAACACTTGTTTTCAAGAGAGATGTGGATGTAAAAACTCTGGTTTTGTTTCTTTTTGAAGACTCCAACTGTAAATTGGTGGCTCTAGTTTTGATGGCTTCCTTTGCAGAGAAGGCAGTGGAAGATAAATATTTTATTACTTGCCTTGCAGTGTTGCCTGGAAGCTCATGCTGCATTTGTGATCCCACAATACTAACCGGGTCCGGTAATCAGAATCTTCTGCCTCAAAAGTCTTGCAGCACAAATAGTCAAGACTAAGAATGGACAGGAGAAAAGTGAAGTTTTATTGTGGTATTGGCATTAAGAGACAGCTTCTCAGTTGGTAGAAATTGTCATAATTCTCCTGGATCTGCCTGTGTGTCCTGTTAGGAGTCTGCATGGGGATAACCAAGCTCCTTAAATCCATAGCTTAGCTCAAATCCACCTTTTTTTTCTGCCTTCTTGGCACTCTGTTGACCAGCTTTGAGTTTCCTTGGATGGTCTTTGTTGTATACGGTGGCCAAAAAAAAAATCACACACCTGCCATGGTCACTTATTCATAGCAGATAGTCGTGACCAGTGTTGAAGCAGCAAAGAGTGATGACAAAAAATGAAACGATGCATCTGTGCATGGCTGAATTTAGGGATGAGGGGCTCTCTGTGCCCCGTGAGCTGGTAGCTCTTGCCCATGCACCTCTGGTTCAGACTGGCAGAGTTTCTTAAGCATCATCATAGCCTGCAAGGTTGGAAGAGATTTGCTGGATCACAGGAGCCAGCCTAGGATTAACATTCAGGTTAGTGGGAAACCGAGGTTATTTGAATTACTGCCATTCCCTGGTGAATTTTAAAAAAGGCAATTACTGGTGATCGAAGAGCAAAAACTTTGTAGACTACCTATAAATTTGGTAAATCCATATAGAAGAGGTATATTATGGACTTTTTTATATTCTGCAGTGGTGTGTTGCTGAGACCCAGATTTGGCATAGCATCACTTAAACCTGAGACAAGATGAGACCTCGGCAGTAACAGCCTAAAGGCTTTGGACGAGAGGCTGTAGCAGCAAACCACAGGCTGGAAATAGCTTTAAAGCCCGCATGGCACAGGAGAAGCTCCTTCCCTTTCTGCCTTCTGCTCCTCGTGGCTTTTTTTCACACACCTTTCATGTACATGCCGCCCAATACCTGGGATTTGCTCCCCTCGTGCGAGAGCAAATGGAAGCACGAGTGCACTCCCAGAAATGCAGCGGTCAAGGAGCGCACCTGTAACTTTATTGGATCCAAATGTTGCTCGTAAACTTTGGCAGGGGCTTCTTTCTGGATTTTAAGGGTGCTGCTGTGCAGTGTTTTGCTCAGCTCCGAAATGGCCGGGTTTTTCTTGATGCGCTCCAAACCAGAGCTGGCTGAAAAGGGTCCTAAAAGAAATAAATCAGAAATTTAGAATTGCTTCTTCCCAGCTAGATTTAAATGGGTGATTTATTTTTGTTTTCCCAGAAAATACAGGATTTATTTCCAGTGACAGGATTCAAAATGCAATGTCATTTTAATGTGTTGTGCATTTTTCTGTGAGGGATGAGAAGAGATCACAAGACCGGTATCCATCCTGA